CAAGCTTTTAAACATATGTGTAACAACTCAAGATGTAAAATAATTCTCTTGGGTGAAAATTACCTTTCTTTTATCATAATATCTTGTTTCATAATGTACATGTGTATCAAAGTCACCACCTAAATCTACTGCCACTATCATTTCTATGGCGGCCAAGTAAGGCTATTATTACAACTGGTTCTCAAAATTTCGTCTTGACTTTGTCGATGCGTGATTTGCGAACTGCTTGTTGGATCTGCCTCTCGTGCTCTTTGAGCATATCTTCGATGTTTCCACCTGGGGGCATCAAAGGACCCGAGTAATGGATTCGTCTAATTCGAGTTCCATATCCCTGTAATTTAGTCAAAACATGCAAATGATTTCATCAACACAGCATAACTAGCAGCAAGAAAGTTCTATGCTTGTTCATTTCAGAGGTTGAACCCCCACAATAGCTGAGTGTTGATTGCAGGGCGATGCCAGAGAACTTTGCATTGCATTAGATACTGCATATAGAAACACAGGAAGAACTAACTGGTAGCTTAGATGCAAGAATCTGTTACTGGCATAAGCATCCTTGTGACTTTGTTATTCCCTTTTACAAACACCTATCCAATTTCTTGTATTGTTCTACTAATGGTCATGGTTTGAGCGTCAAAATATTTCTCCATAGAATCATCAAGAACGGTAGTTGTGGAATGAAAAAGAATTCAATATAGTTATTCCACAACTAATCATGAATAGTTTGTCAAAGGAGAAAAACCACTTGCAATCAAACATCACTTGTAATGAAAAAGGATTCATTATTAGTTGTAGAATAACTATATGCAGTTTGGATACGTGAGTCTGCTACTGGGATAAGAATCCTTAACTTTATTCCTTCAAACACCTATGTTATTTTTTGTTTTGAGTCCCAAAAAATTCTGTGTAGAATCATCAAGAATAAGTAATGAAATTCTAGTGCAGAACAAATTGTGCAATAGTAATTTGAATGTCAAAGGAGAAGAACCACTTGCAATCAAACATCACTTGGATGAAAGCTGACTGATGATTAAATGCAGAAGAAATATTGGTAGTTTGCATGCAAGAACATGCTATTGGAATAAGCATCCTTGTAGCTTTGTTACTTCTCTTTCCAAACACCATTCCCATTCTTGTATTGTTCTACTAAGAGTAATGAAATCTAGTGCAGCTCAAATTGCACAAATGTAATTTGAATGTCAAAGGAGAAAAAACATTTGCAATTAGACATCACCTGGAATGAAAAAGGATGCATGATTAGATGTGGAAGAACTATTGGTACTTTGGATGCAAGAATCTGCTATTGGTATGAGCGTCCTTGTAACTCTATTATTCAATTTATGTTCATGCCTTAAGTCTCAAAAAGTTCTTGTGGGATCATCAAGCATGGTAGTTAGATTCAAGTGCTCAAATTGTGCAATTGCAATTTGAACTTTTGAGGAGAAAAACCAGTTGCAATTAGAACTTACTGTTGTCGGATCCTTGCCTCCTAGAGAGTCATCTTTCTTATGGGTAGAGGGTCTATCAAGTGCATGCCTTGCTGCAGGCTCAGCAAGCCGGTTATGAGTGGAGTTTGCAGTGTTTCTTGCCGCCAATGAACCTGAGATGTCAGAGAAGTCGGCAACCCCTGGCTGTGGCCTGTATGACATCTGCGTTTTCAATTGAGGACCATTTGACACCCTCACTGAACTGTATGTTCGGCTAGGCATTTGCCGGAGCTGTTCCTGGTTCCTTTTCCTGGTCCATGAGGGTCCCAGTCCATTAGGGTGCACACCAGAATGAGAGAAGCCATTTCGTGCTGTTGCTTCAGGCCCAGTTTCATCTTGTGGATTATACTTATGACTGATGCTTTTGGGATTTGCCTGAACCTGTAGCTTCTATCCAGCAAAAAAGAAAAAGCATAAAGAAGAAGAAAGAAATGTTAGCTTTGAATCCAATGGAGAGTGAACAAGAGTCCAATAACTATTTTCTTCATCAGACAAGCAGATCATGCCAACTTCATAAGATAAGTTCTCTTTTGTTATACTCTGAAGCAGCCATATCTGTGTGTTAAAACCATCAATAGTAAATCTGGAATTTAATCAGAACCTCCTCTTTTACTGTCCTCTTATGAGAATTTTGTTTCCTGAAGATTCACAGTAACACTAATCTTATTCTTTTCAGGAGCAAACTATGCCAATGGACACTCATGATAAAGCTTGACATATATAATGTTGTGAAGGACTTGACCAGAGAAGGTATAAGTTGCATTTGATTTACATCAGATCACGTTGTTAGCATAAACAAATATGAGCAAGTTCATGCATATCTTTTTGTTTATTTTCCATGCTATCACTTGGGGTGAAGTGCAGAGAGTACATACAAGCATAAAAAGAAGTTCTTTCCATATGCCTTATAATCCCAAGTTCCTAATCTTTTATGCTTAAACCAAGAATCGATGCACTTGAATATATAGGTAGATGTTGTTTTCCATCTTCTATTAGTTGGTCATGGATATCTGTTGTTTTGGAATTGTAACATATTATTGGACATCTGCAACCAAGAACAGTGTCCAACATGAACATGAAATGATGTAATTCCTTGAGGCACATTTGTTTTAATATCACTTTGTTTCTCCTTGTACTTCATAATAGAACAATTTTTAAGTACATGAAATTGCACCTGCAGGTCTATATTGGCATCTGGAGCTGGCATTGCTTTGAACTCTCGCCTTCCGGGTCTGACAGATTCACATCCACGTCCGTTGGTAACTTCTGCTCTTCGCCTGCAGAGATTTATAATGCATAATGGTAAATTAATCAACTGTCAACCAAAAAAAATTAGGTATATGTCTTGCATAAGTAAACTTGCCTCTAGAATAATTAAAACGGTTTTTAAGTAATTTGCCGGTGCAAAGTATATGATTAAATACCTCCTTGCCTCATCTTGGAGTTTAGCATCATACTCCTTGCTTGGTGGATATTTAGGCAAATTTGAGGGGTCGCAGGCAAATGGCTTGGTCAAGAAGAACTGGAAATCATGGTAACAAGATTATCCATGGAGAAAGCATATTCTATTACAAATCTATTAATCATCATCACATTAAAGGTTTTTACATCAAGAAGGTGGTAGCTAGAGCATAACTCAGAATGATCCATAGAAATGAACATATTAGCAGATGTGGTAGAAATGAACTATATATAGATCACTTTAAATCTAGTGTGATATTTACAGAAGCATATTTTGATTTTAATTCTCTGCTTGAAAGAACCTAAAGGACAAAAAGAGTTGGACATCATATCCCAGTGACCAGAAATAAGAAGCCGCAACTTACTTTGCTCTCGAGGGCTGAGACTGCAGTTCCCCGTTTTTCTGGTTCTATCGCAAGAAGAGAATCCAGGAGAGATAAAGCTGAAGGTGGAAAATCCTTGAAGATCTCAGCAAAACAGCGTCGATACTGATGTTGAGGTTTGAATACGGTTGCATGTGGCAGCTTTTCTCTCTCCCAGTACTCTTCTGATGGTGAACCACACAGCTTGAAGATCTTGTGCAGTTGTTCCACCTAAAACAGTTTGACCGTCAACATTTTGAATGAGAAATGAAACAATAGGATAAATCAGATTCCAATGAAAAATTAATCTGCATTTGGAAAAAATAAATTAAATTGTCTCCAAAAAATATCTGCCTAAAATTGAACTTTAGCCATATCAGTATGTTAAGCTTTAAAGTTGCAGAATTTTCTCTGATGAAAAATAATGCTTTTGTTACTTCAGTACCTCCTAAAAAGGAGCATACATAGGTACTCCGGATTAATATATTCACCATGTGAAATTAACAATGCTTGGCTGTCTAGCACGTCCAAGAAAGAAAATTGAGGATAAAAGAAAGGAAACAAGGACAAAGGAGGTGTTTATGATTGATTTTTCAGTTAGAATCAATGAAAAGAAAATTATGATCTCAGCAGCAATAGCATAAAAATGATATTGTTTCATTGTTAATTAATGTGTTTCTGAGAACAACACAGTAATTAGTTGTGTATCATTATAGTGCAATCTAAAATACTGTTTGGGCAAGGCAATCAAACTAATGACCATATGATTCTATCTATAATTGGATTATCCTTTTTTTCAGTAAGGTTATGATAGCACAGCCAGTATATTTAACATGTAATTATAAATGTTTAATATAATTAACTAATGCATGTCATGCTATAAGTAATTGAATATGACAAAATTTGAAATATCTTCAGAATAATATATGGCATATTCAAGGTCAAGTGGTATTTTTTGGGTAGACAAAGTCCAGTTAGCAATGCCAACAGACAAATGAGGTTTTTCTAGTCGGAAATGACAACTTTTCAGCATCACACCCTGTAAAAACATTTTAGACCTAATTGAATTTTGCAAAACATTTTAGAAAATTCTTCTGATTTCATGGTTGCTTATGCTTTTATAACATCTACTATAACGGAACAGTAATGGAAAATGTAGGAACTCAACGTACCTCGGTTCTTCCGGGCATGATGGGTTTGCCAGCAAGCAACTCTGCGAGGATGCAACCAGAGCTCCACAAATCAACAGCAGCACCATACTCTGTAGCACCAAGCAGAAGCTCAGGAGGCCTATACCACAAGGTGACCACACGGCTTGTCAACTGCTGGTTCTGCTCAGGATTGAAAAATGTTGCAAGTCCAAAATCTGCTATTCTGAGTATGCCATTGTTGTCAATCAACAGATTTGAACCCTTGATATCTCGATGCAGAGCACCACGCCCATGACAGTGAGCAAGACCTTCAAGTAGCTGCCTCATATAACACTTTACCTACAGTTGATATGAAGATGTTCAGAGGATACATGTTCCCAGATGTTCGCTCTAACACATATGTTAAGGTTGTGATAGAAAGTACCTGTGGTTCAGTGAACCTGAGACCAGACCTTGCTAAGAGCCCAGCAAGATCATGCTCCATGTACTCAAATACAAGATACAAGTTGCCCGACATCCGTGATGTTACTATACCTTCAAGCTTTATAACATTTGGGTGATCAAGTTTACGCAGTATATGAATTTCTCTTGCCATAAAGCGGACGCTTTCAGGATCCATGTTAACAAATCGTACTTTCTTGAGGGCAACAATTTTACCAGTCTCAAGATCACGGGCTCTGAAAACATTGCTGTAAGTTCCTTCTCCAATCTGAAATGGAATGATTTCAAGTTTTCAACAATGACCACATGAGAAGGATTGTTACTATCACCACGAACTAGAATAATTTATGTTCAATTCTGAGGATCAAACCATGTGAAACAGATTTCACAACAAGAAATATACTAAAATCCCATTGGGGATTATATCTGTCGTCTTACATTTATCTGACAACATGTTCAGCAAAAACTTTCAGATCCCTGTCCAACAAAATCGAATATAGAAGACAAACTAAAAATGAAGTATTCAAAAAACTCATGTATTAGTTTCCTAGTCGAATTCAATCTCCATGAATTATGAGTGAGGCAAAAAAATTGTATTAAAGGATGATATTGAACAATGGTAATCCATACATAAAAAACAATTCCCCAGAAATGAGATTCTAAATAAGAAATAATTGAACAGCGGAGCATCCTGATCAAATATTCTGCTTAAAGGCTCTTTCACAAAAATTGACTGGAACCTTCATCTTGGAGGATAGAATTATCTAAAGTTTCTTGTCAATAGTAAGTTTACAATAAATAATCCATTCTAATAAACATCTTTAGAATTCTCCATCAAATCATTTTTCTTGGTTATAGTTTCAGTTTCTACAGGAAAGTTATAAGATCCACATTTTTAATTAACAAGATTAAAATAATTTAGCACATCATTTGAGGCATCATGGTTGTAGCAGGAACTTTACTTGTCAATAGTGATTTGGCTTTACACACCATATTAGGCATCCACGTAAACCAGATAATATTTCTTTTTTTTATCTTACTTGTTTTATAAGTTATTAGATTTACTGAAGATTTCACAATTAGATTGAGTTTGATTTTTAATTCAATGGAGGGAGTCTAATAATGCCTCTACTTTCTATAATAAAAATCATGATCTAGTGGCATTATGAGAAGAATATCAACAAGTTCCAAGTACAAGGAATTCTTTGGCATAATAACCAAACTAAAAAGAAAAAATTGGTTTTAGATTATCAAACTTACTATGCATCCAATCCCCAGTTGAAGTCATTAGATCATCAATTCTCATGCTTCCCTTTGCACCAACCAAGCAAGTTGAGATAAGGTTTTACCAACATATTAAAAGAATATATCAATGAAATGTCACATCTTTCTGTAGATATTTCCATCTATATAGCACTAAAAACCAAGCATAAAAAAGAAATGCATTAGAGACATGAAGAAGAAATAGAGTCACTCAAAAGTGTAGGCAGAGTTCAAAACCCTAACCTTGTCTAATTTCTCGAACGAATCTCCTTTCCTGGGCAACCAACCACTAATAGCTTCACCGGCGACAGTCGCCAGCCAAGAAGGCCAGCCTGCTGCAGCATGCTCTCCTGCAATACCGTCGGGCACATCGACGATCCCCAAATCATCTTCTATGTTATTTGGAACACAAATAACTCCGGAACCATCTCTGTGTGCCCCAACATCCACAGTAGCCCGCCTCTGGTGCGCCCTGACTTCCCTCGTGGAATCGAAGGTTGTGGCATCTTTCTTCTCTTCTTCATCCGAGGATGAAGAAGACGAACTGCCGGTGTCTGCATTGTCCCGCGATTTGGATAAGAATCTTGAATTACCATGGCTTCCGCTGAGTGCGACGTTGATGATGGCAGCCACGACCTCGTCCTTCTTAGAAAGCGAGACAAGATGATTCAAGGATGTGGCTCTCTGTGTCACACCATCTTCGTCGAGGACGAGTCCTTTGGAACACAGGCAGCCCATAAGCAGAAATTTCGGACAATCTCTACCTCATTTCCATTTGCATTCATTCAGGAATTGAGATTGCAAGACCATTGAAATCCCATCAAGCAAATCTCTCCAGGAAGAAAGAAGGAACCCAGACATTCAAATGGAAAGCTCCGGTAAAACGCACCGATTTACCCTAAAACTTACAAAAAGAATCAATCTCGTTTCCGAATTCTGCAAGGACTGTTCGATGCACCGATTTACCGGAACCAAATCTGCCGCCTTTCAGAGCTAGCCAGAAACGGGAACAAACGATCGGATCCCCACGGAGATGGAGGAACAGAAACCCCAGCCACCGACAAACCCCAGAGGAAAGCGGCCGTGGGGATCGCAGGAACCGGATCAGGATTCCACCTTGACGCGGGAATCACGAGGGGAGACGACTGATCCGTGGTTTTGTCGGATCATTTGTCGTCCATCGTCGTGCGGCGGAGCTTTCCGCACCGCAGGTGGCTCTTTTTCTTCGTTTCCGCCGTGAACAGGCCCGAGGGAAAGGCGGAGAAGACGATCAAAATAGGAAAGGAAACAAAAATCGCATAATTAGCTTCAAAACTTACCTTTTTCCCTGTAACTGTTTGACTGAAACAAACAGAGATGGCAGGTTCGATGGAACGCAACGGAAGCGGAGTGTTTGTCGGATTTCCCCGTCGCCCTCACATCTCGCCGAGCCTGTCGATTTCTTCCTTCCATCTCCCAGCCCCGATGGGTTGGACTCCTCTCTCTATCTCTCTCTCTCTCTCTCCCTCTCTCTACTGCAGTGACGTGCGCGCCAACAAGGTTTTGTTATGTTGATCCTTCAACGTTTTAAAGGTTTATATATATAAACCCTTACATCTTACATTTGTTATTTAGTTCTCCAGTTAAATCTGTTTGTTGGAGAATTCTCAATATATTATTTCACTAGGCATTAAGTTGCTAATAAAGTAACAATAACATATCATGTTACAGAATATTTTTATCTATACGGTTTTTCATGTGAAAAATCCTTTTTTTTTCTTAGGCTTTTGTTAGATTATAATCCCATTTTTAGTTTTTTTATTTAGTGTCCTTAATTTTTTTAATACTTTAAATATCTTCTATCATCATATTCATCTCACCATAGGGTCTTATCGTCTTATCATCTTTTTTTTCTACTCTATTACATTCGTCCAATGTAATCACATTCGTTTCGTTTGGTCACTTTGATAGTATCATCATCGTGATGAAAAGAGAAAAAGATATTGATGATGACAAATGGCATCAAAAGAATCGAAGACATCAAATGACAAAACTAAAAATGAAGACATCAACAGAGGAAAGCTTAAAAAAATATACTTTTTCGGACAAATTACCCCAAATCAAATAATAACATTGCCCTTAATATTTCTTTATATTTAAAAAGTTCTATCACTGGTTTCCAATTTTTGAATCATATGCTGAATTGTGTTAGACTTAAAAAAATAAAAGAGGTTTTTAGTAAGTTTGATTGACTTAAATTAATAAAAAAAATAGGCATAGGTTCTAATATGCAAGATTGAAAGGGATTATGGAGAACATATTTGAAATGTGCACTAAGGCCCAATGCACATTTCAATTGACATTTGATAAATTTTTTTAAATGTCTAAATATTATATTAAAAATATTCAAATGCTGATGGGATAGTATTAGCATTTTAGTATTTGTAGAAGGCTACTATAATCTTTTAAATTCTAAAAATATCCTATGACTCTATCAAAAATTTTAAGATTATCAAGATGATATTTTGAGAAACAAATATGATAGATATTTTTATAAAGGTAGAATTTTATTTATTTATTTTTAAAGATTATTTTATATTTATATATGATTATGTTTTTATTTATTATATATTTGGGCCATATAAAATTTTTATAAGATTACATACATACATACATTTATTTCTATTATTTTTATTTATTAATTTAAATATATATTTATTTTGAATAAATATTAAACTATTAAAAATATAAATTTATCATAAAATATTCTATGGACTTTTGAAATATAATTTTACTAAATAACACATACATCAATGTGCATTTAAAATACAGTTTTTATCTATTATTTATTAAACACTTAAAGTATTGCACAACTGCACATTCACTCAAACCATTTTCTTCAAAAGTATATTAAAAATGAGAATATGTTCCCAAATGTAACCTATAAATATATTTATATAAATAATAGAATCTCTAAATCTTATAGGAATTGCATACTAAAAATATAAAAAAGTCTTTTATATATATATATATATATATATATATATATAACCTTTATATTTTAAACTGTTTTATATATGCATGAAAGCTCTTTGAATCAGAAGTTCGAGAGAAAACAATCAATAGAGAACAATTGGGTCTCTTATTTTAATCAAATTAAAATGCAAGATAATGATTCAAATAGTTAGTTTTTTAAAGATAAACAAAAATCAAATTGCAACTCCTCTTTTATATTCTTTGCACAATATTTCTTATTTCTCTAGTTTTAATGTCTTCTTTCCTTATATACTTAGCTTATCAAATTCGATATGGACATATAAGCCTTCTTTTTGTCCTTTTCTTTTTATTTTCAATTAGGTATTTGGTCATCATGCATGCTAGAAAGTTTAAAGTGATTCAATTTTGTTAGCATTAAAATTTTCTTCAATCTATCTCATTCAAATGCTAAAAAGAAATTGTAATACACACTCGAAAATTATGTAGCAATTGTTTGAAATAGGCAATTCAATAATTTAGATCCAACTCTATAAAGAAATCTCCTTATATGTTAAATAGACAAACACTAATATAATTTTGGTTGGAAAGTAACTTTTAGGGTTTTAATTACATTCAAAACTATTTGGAGGAATCATAATTAGATTCCAACCTATTATTTTTGGAGATTATGATTTGAATTAGAGATTCAAGAAAAAAAGGAATCCTAGTGAAGATAAGTCCTTGATGAATTAGGATTTTTTTTTCTTATAAATATATAATAAACATCAAGATTTTGATGAAAAAGAGAAATATAAAAAAGATACTTTGGATTCTCCTAAGTTATTTTCAGTATAAATTGATTTAGAGTTTGGGTTTGAGTAATATATTTGTATGCAAAAAAAAGGTATGGAATCACATAAATTTTTTATTGGCTTTTACTTCCTCCAAAAAAAAAATAATAATAAAAAATACTTTGTTTGGTGAGAAAAAATTTAAAACTAAAAAAGAAATCTCATCCCAAAAAATAATCATCAAAGAAGGATAATTTATCTAAAAAAAACTCCAATAATGAGGTTTTACTAAGAGGTACTTTTCTTTTTTTAAATCAAAATACCTTTTATCAAATTAAAAAAAATAATCAATATCTCTTGACCCTAGTTTACGGTAGGCTATTGAGTTGAATTGATTTGTTTGACATTAGATTCGTTCAATAAAAATCTAAATATTTAATTTAATTTCTTCAACGCCTATATTACCTTTTTTTTATTGAACTACCTCAAATTATCCCGTTATCCTTATTCTCAAATTACCCCCACCTCTACTCCACCTCCTACTCCACCTCTATTGCCTACTCCTCAAACTCTATCACTTGTTAGCTTCTTCCTCCTCAACCTCCCCCTTGGTTTTCTCCACCTTCCCTGTCTCATTCTTCTCTCACTTCACCTCCACCGTCACCTCCTCCTTCCAATCCTCCTCTCACTCCACCACCTCCTCCCCTCTCCCTCTCTCTCATCCACCTCTCCCATCCCCTCTTCCTTCTCCTTCTCCCACTCATTCTTTACCACCTACTCATCCTACTTTGTTGCCTCCTACCCCCTCCCCATTGGCTTCTTTTTGCCTCACTTTCCTCGGTTTTCTCCTCTCTTCTCTCTTCCCATTCCACCTCTACCTTCTTCTACTCCAGTTCCATTATCACGACCTCCCTCTTGCTCTTAACTTTCTCCTCCTCAACCTCCGCTTCTACCCCCTATGCCTCTCCCTCATCCACCTCCCTCAACCCCTCCTCCTCCTCATTTTCCTTATACTCCTCCACTATTGTCACACCCTTAAGATAATATTCTAGAGGTATGAACCTATTATGAATATAATATAATTTTTTAACTATCCAGAATCCAAACTTAGGATCCATAACATAGAATTTGAGAATACTATATGCATTTAATTCTTATTCACACACTCTATAAAATCTATATAGTTTATAATTATTCAATACATCACTTAGATGACTCCATAAGACTCAAAGAAAACTTAAAAAATTATTAACAATCACTTACAAACTCATAAGATCAATGAAACACTATAATTATAAATCAGTCATTTATCACAAGTTTATATTAACATAAAAACTTCATATTTAACATCTAAATTTCAAAATATGAAAGATCTTTTCACATTTATAATAACACACATCAACTTATATTTTTGAATAACATTACAAGCAATGTGTTACTTACAATAATGTTTTGTTAAACCATCAAAAATATATCACAAACTTCTAGCATTTCACTATCCAACCCAAAACTAATATGAGTGATAAGCTAACCTAAAAGATTTATATTGTAATAATATAAACTATAAAGTGCAGTAAGTAACTATCATATCCATGACATAGCGATGATAAATCATGTAACATAAGCATCAAAGTGTAAAACATGGATTCAAGAGCCAATAAATATTATTTCATTATATTTATATTTAACAAAGAAGCAAAAAGCAACATATGAACATATCAAGAATAATTGCAAGGAATGAGCTCATGTACAATCATATTCGATATTTCATTTGATTCATTAATATTAAAAGAATATATAATAATATATTTGCAACTTAGGATCATAATATAAGATACAAGCTCAAGAATCATGTTTAACATTTCATTTGATTCATTGATAATAAGGGAGCAAAGTATAACTTACAAGTTAAGATTCAAAAGAGCAATATATTAGCAAAGAGCTAGGAATAACATATTAGCTAATTAATAGTAAAATGCAAGGTAATAAGGTTAAGAGTAGAGTCATATTTGACATTTCGTTCAATTCATTTATATCAAAGGAACATATAGCAATACATAAGCATATCCTTTAAATTTAAATCAAAAGAACATAAATGTGAAGTGGGATCATAATATAGCATAATACCACCCATTTCTAGGTGTCTACTAATCTAGAGCTTATTATGGCTCCATAATATAACATAATCCTATTTAAATTTATGATAAAGGATCCATAATATCCCATAAATATTCTGATCAAGAAAGTATAAAGATACATAAAGTACACTGAAACAATAAAAATATACATATACGCATGAAGCAATATCAAAGGCAACTTAAACATATGCACAATTCATTCAATTATGACCAAGATCAATAACTAAGAGATAAAGGAGTTTAATCAGTAACATGAGTCTTATTGGGAGATGATTCTCAGCTGAAATCAAATTCCACAAGGTAGAAACAAGAATTAGTAAATTTGAGAATAATTCTGTTTAGTAGAATCTGTATGATAAGTTGCATAAGATGTTTGGATAGGAAATTATTTTCCAATTCATTCCAATAAGATATTATTGGAAATAATACATGTCTACTTTCAAATAAAATAGATTATGTATAAATTAGAGTTGTCTAAAAGGATACAAACAATTTAATACAAATAGGTCAGAACACATCCTCTATATTTAACAGAATTCAAGTGATCGAAAGGAATAATCATTTAGGCAATCATTTGTACTTCAAATCATTCAAATAGGATAAAG